AAAAGGTCTTTATGGGACCTTTTGTGAGGTATGCCTAAATTGTTTGGACATAGTTCGTATGTCTATGGTTGGGGTTTCTCTCTCTCCCTTCCCACTACCATTATCAATAATTAAAAGTGGTTTGATTAACAATAATATTATAGAACTTAAATTCTTTGTCATTTTTTCGTTCTTCAGGAATGCCCAGCTGGCACTTACAAGAATGTTATTGGGTCTGATAGGGCACTTTGTCATCATTGTCCTGCTAATGAGCTTCCCCTTCGTGCAATTTATATTTCTGTCCGAGGTACTTTTATAACTGTAGTGATTAATTGCTTTATTAGGAGCCAGAAGTCCTACTGCCTTTGAGTTCTAATGGTATTGTATCTTTGATTTGTAGTCATTATATATTGTTTCCAGATCCATATTATTACTTGTTGAATTGCATCCAAAAGTATTTGCAACTTCTGGTAATTTATCTATTAAACCACACCTTGTCTTCTTATCAGGTGGTGTTGCTGAGGCTCCATGTCCTTTCGAATGCATTTCAGACAGATATCACATGCCACACTGTTATACAGCTCTTGAAGAATTGATTTACACATTTGGTGGGCCTTGGCTATTTGGTCTTCTTCTGATTGGTCTCCTCATCCTATTAGCTTTGGTTCTCAGTGTTGCACGAATGAAATTTGTTGGGGTTGATGAATTACCAGGCCCCGCTCCCACTCAACATGGCTCACAAATAGATCACTCCTTCCCTTTCCTGGAGTCATTGAATGAGGTTTGTTCTTGCATAAAAGAACTTTGCCATTGCCCTATCTCTCTCTCTCTCCCCCCATCCCCCCCACCCACACCCATTTCCCCCACTTTTTTGATTGATAAGCTGTGTTCATATTGTAGGTTTTGGAAACAAATAGAGCCGAGGAATCACAGAGCCACGTGCACCGGATGTATTTTATGGGTCCTAATACGTTTGGAAAACCTTGGCATTTGCCCCACACTCCGCCAGAGCAAGTAAAAGAGATTGTGTGAGTTAACTTGTATATATTATTTATGTACAATTATTTCAGTATCCACTTAGGACTTCAAGGAACTTTAACATTGTGGCTATTTTCTCTTTCTTATTTATATATGACAAATCTAAAAGATTATAGTTTGAAGTATAGCGTTCCCTCTGGCAGATATGAGGGGCCATTCAATACATTTGTCGATGAGATTAATTCCATAGCCACTTATCAATGGTGGGAGGGAGCAATGTACAGCATTCTTTCTGTTCTTGCCTACCCCCTTGCATGGTCATGGCAGCACTGGCGCCGAAGATTGAAATTGCAACGTCTCCGTGAATTTGTTAGATCGGAATATGATCATGCCTGCTTACGGTCTTGTCGTTCACGAGCTCTATATGAAGGGATCAAGGTTTGTGACTACCAGTGTTTTTCCTTTCTTTTAAACTCCTTTTTCTTGTATCTTTTAAAAACTGAATACCATTTATGGGTGTTTGTGTAATTGATTGTTTACATGTATGCCATAATTGATTGTATTTCCTTTTAAATCTATTTTGTTATTTAGATTTTTCTTTTATTTGAGTTTTAACTTAGTATTAGAGTTTGAGTACAGCATGCATGTGGGAAGACAATTGCTTTCTCTTTATCTGTTGAGTGATTACCGTATAACGTGTGAGGGTTTATTACTTGTTTCAATGTTTCTTTTTCTTGTGGGCCATCTTGGGATGTTATTTCCTGTATTTTTCTTCTCAATTATGTTCATGTATATTTATGTTTTACATAATTCTTTAACATTTATTTGGACGTTTATATACTGGCATACATGCTTCTCTTCTGAATTCCCTTGGCCATTTAGAGGAGCAAAGTTCCTTATAAACAATTAGCATGTTCTTCAAAACTTAATTACTTGTAATGTGTAAAAGGAACAATATTCACAATGCGGACTTGGTTACTTGGTTTTTCATTGTGTAACTTTTTGCTGTATTATTGTCAGGTAGCTGCAACTTCTGACTTAATGCTAGCATATGTGGACTTCTTCCTTGGTGGGGATGAAAAGAGAACTGATCTTCCTCCTCGTTTACATCAAAGATTTCCTATGTCATTACCTTTTGGAGGTGATGGAAGTTACATGGCCCCTTTCTCACTTCACAGCGATAATATTGTTACAAGCCTCATGAGTCAGGTTTGGTTGTTGATCTGACAAATTTAAAGCCCAGTTAGCGAAACTGATCTTTTTTATGTTCTAGCTTCTTTACAACTTTATTAATCTTAACACATTTGATGTGCAGTCAGTCCCACCTACCACATGGTACCGTATGGTGGCTGGTTTGAATGCACAATTACGCTTAGTTTGCCGTGGGCGGCTAAGAGTTACTCTTCATCCTGTCCTTAGGTGGCTTGAAAGTTATGCCAACCCTGCTTTGAAGATTTATGGTGTACGTGTCGATCTTGCTTGGTTTCAGGCTACAGCTTGTGGTTATTGTCATTATGGATTGGTGGTGGATGCTCTTGAAGAGGACAGTGATCCGGCCTCTGTTGTGTGCATCGATGGAGCAATACGAACTGAAGAATCACGGTAATGGCTTGTAATGCGTGCCCGGAACAATTGTTTTTTTGTTATCATTTAGGTCCCTGCCAATTTCATTTTATATTAAATTATTGTCAGAACTGATTGTGGCGTAGTGAAAATTCTGTGCATGAGATTATGATTGAAATTTAGTGAAACTTATGTGCATTAGATTAGGAGTAAAATTTTGTCCATTAGCAGTCCCAATTTTTTTTTATAATACCGTCATTATGGTTATTACCCTTACGTTGGAAACTGGGTTTTTTGAATAGCGGTAAAGAAATATTATGCAAAATGTAACTAATAAGATCAGATGAAATTTGGAACAATGATAATATGCACAAGCATGAACATGTGAACACTGAGACAAAATAATGGTACTGGCATAACATCTAATAGATAAGTCCGTTGGCCTGTGTAGTGATACTTGAACAGATTTAAGTGGTATAAAGCACTACTTTGAGTACATATGTAGCGATACACTTGGATGCTAGTGAGTTTGACTCTGTTTTCTTTGACTTTCTGCGCAAATAGCATTTACAAAGAAGATTCATTGGGTCATTTGAGAGAAACACTCATAATCCAATCCCGCAGAAGCAGTGAAAATCTAATGAGGCGAAAGAGAACATATGGAGGGATTATAGAGGCTAACAACTTACAAATGCTTGAAGAAAAGAGAGATATATTTTATCTTCTCTCTTTTATACTTCATAATACTAAACCTGTTGGACACCAGGTATCTCTCATGCTTATATAACAGTACATATATAATATATGTTAGCTGGAGATTTCAAATCTCTCATTATTAACAATTTTTTATATGAACTGCAGGATCTCGTTGGTTTAGTCATCTCGATGCTCCTCTTAGGAGATTTTAGCTTAGTTTTGCTTACATTGCTCCAGTTGTATTCAATTTCATTAGCGGATGTCTTTCTGGTTTTATTTATTTTACCACTTGGCATTCTTCTTCCATTTCCTGCTGGTATCAATGCTCTATTCAGTCATGGACCCAGACGTTCTGCTGGCCTTGCACGTGTACATGCTTTGTGGAACCTTACATCCTTGATTAATGTCGTAAGTTTCTACTTTTTATCCTTTGCTTTGTAAGTCTTACCTCTCCCAATAAGATATAAGGAAGGCTTTCAAAAAGAAATAAATATTTTGGTACAATTGCTTCAAGTTCAGAAATTTTCTATTTCTTTACTGGAATCTGAGTTTGCTAATTTGTATTATATATTGATGCTGTATTCTTTTGCCAGGTGGTTGCTTTTGTTTGTGGATATGTTCATTATAGCACTCAGTCATCAAATAAAATACATCAATTTCAACCCTGGAATATTAGCATGTGAGAAGATCTCTAGCTGCCAAAAACTCTGTTAGTCCAAATAGTAAGTTCTGTTCTTGGCACAATACTCAACTAACAAGTTGTCTTTCTTTATCCGTGGCCGTCGATGCAGGGATGAAAGTGAATGGTGGATTTTTCCTGCTGGACTGCTGCTTTGTAAAATTTTTCAATCCCAGCTAATCAACTGGCATGTTGCCAATCTGGAGATTCAAGACCGTTCGTTGTACAGCAATGATGTTGAGCTGTTCTGGCAGTCGTGACCATATTTAACAAGATATTCTCCACAATTAACATGTATTTTTTGCTTTGTTCCTATTTTGTAATACTTTCCTCTTGTATGCTATTTTGACAGTAGGTGAGTGATTGACGTAGGTTAGGGAAAAAAAAAAGTGTTGAAATATGAAGTCAGGAAAGTAAAAAGAAATAGATGAGAGCAACAGTTGAGAGGAAATGATTTATTATGTAACCACTTTTGAAAAATGTGAAGTAAGTTTTCTGTAAATAGTAATTGGGGCACATATCATACCCACTCTTTAGTGGATTTGAGTCTTCATCGCCTACATTTTCCTGTAATACTTGGGCCCTGGCCCCGCTTATATATATAATCAGGACTTTCTTGGTCCATTTTATTTATTTTCATTATTGTTATTCGATTGGATCAATTGGCATGCGCAACTTTTCTAGATACAAACTGGTGTCTTCTTTGAGTCTTAAGTTCTCTGCCAAGTTCAGATTGCAGCTGGTTTTCGGTTTTGGGAGGAAAATCCTGTTCGTCCAAGTAGCACTCTTTCTGTTTTTGGTTGTAACTATATTGCAGCCGCAGCATATACCCACCCCAGTGTTGCACAAGATGGCAGAATTTGATTAGAAAGTATGACGAAACTGAAAACCTAAGTTCAATAGCTTTCTTTTCAGCAACTTATTTTTAACCTCAGTGTCTGATGCTTGGATCATGGATGATGTCTCATATTTTTAAGCTAAAAATGCATCCTCTAAGGCTCAGTCAGTAAGCAGCATATGATTGGTAAAATCGGACACATTTCTAATGATCAAACTGAAGCAGACGCATTTCTAAACTACGTAAGGTAAGATCGGCTAGCGCCACGACAGAAAGCTCATGTCCCATATCTTCATTTCATCACAAATGCACTGTTATATTGAAACAAAAGATTGAACGAGGACACATTTGAAATCAGGAAACATAAAGAAATATTTTTTTGAATGATAGGTTTCATGTTATTCCCTTGAGCCCACACATAGCTTAAGAGCTCCAAGAGAGAAGGAAAAAGCTATCTCTACTCCTTGTTCAAGACCTTGGGAACTTTAATATATGGCTCCTCATAGTTTGGAACAGCAGCAATCATGGCCTCCCTGTTGAAACACAAAAATAAGTTTCGATGGCTTTATCGATCGAATAAATGTGAACCCAAATTTGGATGCATGAATAGAGTGAACACAACCATCACACCTGTTCTCAAATGTTTCAGGAATATCGGCCCGGAAACTATCACCTTCAGTATCTGTAGTTAGCACAGAGAGAAATATAAGCAAGATTCAACCTCCTGCATTTGTTTATTTTTTTATTATAAATAATAATAATTACGAACAGGAAAAGCAATGCAGCTAAAGCCATGTGGTTGGGTTTTCAATCCCATTAATTTATTTTCAAAAAGAAAAATAATAACTCAAAACAAGAGTGAAATGTGAACTAAAAATGAGTGTTTATGAATGGTTTTGAAGCACCTGCTCTGATTGAGGGCTCCACACTTTGAAGATCAACATCTTGAAGCTGCCCAAACCTGTAAAAGAACCAGCCAACCATTACTCATCATAACAACAAACAAAACCCATAAAATACTTCAACATGATGTTAATTAAAGGAAAAGACTAAGCTTACCAATCTATAACAAGTCCAATTTTGGGAGCAAATTCTTCAACCTTTATAAGAGTGAAAATAATTATTAAAAAAAATTAAGAAATAAAAAGAATGGAAATTTAGTCAATGAAATGTATGACTATGATGAGGCATCAATTCAAAAGAAAACAGATAAGGGTAAGACACCTCATGAGGGGTCAGAGAAATTCGAGCAGTCTGAGCCAAACGAGGCAAGTCTGGAGGCTCCAGAGAAGGCCCGCTGCTTTGGGTTGTTGAGCAATTTGTTCGAACCCAGTTGTTGCTAGGACGAGGAAAGTTGCTTTTGCTGTTAAAGTTGTAGAAAAGCTGGTTCTTGGGTAGCGAAGAAGACGACACTCCCTTGACCAGAAGCAAAGCTCTGCTTCCCATTTTCTTCCTTCCTATCTGAAGTAAATTTGATGTTGAAAAAGGAACACGGCAGTAAAGTTTGTTTATTGGGCTGCTGGGCTGGGAGGAAAAAAAAACAAAAAAAATTACTGAAAAAGGAAGAGGACAGGTTGGACTGCTCGTTGTTTTACTAAGGGATTTAGAGTGAAATTTTTGACACTTAAGAAATTGGAGTGTAAATTTTTGGCATTTTGGAAGTTGCGAGCATGAATTTTATATTGGGAGTTTCACTAAAACACCCAAAATTGGGCTGAAATTATAAAAAAACCAAACACCCAAAACACTTTATAAACACACCCAAAACCCATCATTACACACACTCAAAACCCATTTATAAACACACCCAAAAAATATACAATTATTGATTTTGGGGTTAATTTTGGGTGTGTTTCTATGTTTAAATAGTATGTGAGTTTTTTTATAAATACATGTCTAGGATTGGGTTTAGTTATAATAATCTATTTTATATTTTGGGATTTGGAGAGTAAATTTTGACATTTTAGGATTTTGGGTGTGATTTTTGGCATTTGGTGGTTTGGAGTTGAATTTTAGCATGTGATGTTGACTTTGACATTTTGAGGTTTCGAGTCTGAATTTTGGTATTTTGGAGTTTGATGTATGTAATGTGACATTTTAGAGTTTGGGATGTCATTTCGGTGTTTTTTAAAAGATCATTTTCTGAGTTTTTGTGCTGTTAAATTTTACACCCCCAAACCCCAATTTCAAACCAGTTGTATATATATTATCCACCATTTACCTACAAATGATCTTTGACACTACTAAGTTTTGTGTTGCTATCACGGTATAAATGATCTTGACAACGGCCTGTTTTCTCATGCCCTTAAATCCAAACTGCATCCAGTTGGGTATCACATCACATCAGCATCCGGTTAGCCTAATGATACGTTAGATTAACAGGGAGAAAATATTTACAAGAATACCTATACAATTTGCTAATTTTAATTCAACTTTTGTCTAAACCTCCTCCATCTGCCGTTGTATTGCTCTTCTCTGCAACGGTGTTGCTGCAATGGTGCAGTTGGGGAGCAAATAAACTCCTTCGACAGACGCCGGAAGGTGGTGGATTGGCACATTGCATGGAGTCCTCAGGTAATGACGCGGATACAACTGTTGTCACCGGAGCGGCCTCTGCATCACCGGCTCCAGCATGGCCGGCTCCATCTCTCCCACAACCTGCAACCAGTAACGCAGCTACAACCATCAGTGTGTGTGAGTGAAAAGACAATCTGCAGATGACAGTGCTTTTTTTAACCCCAAAAGCAGACAGGCAAACTTTTAAAAGGGGTAAATTGCTTCAGCTCTGGTTTACCAAGCCTTGTCTCCTCTCCGTACATGGTCCCAATAAGGTTTTAACAAAAAATATGAAAGGAAGAAGTTGAATAACCTGCTTGCGTAGTGCTGGTGTTGGGTGTGCTTGTGTTTGAGGGCGCAAATAAGGTTCCAGCTCCTTTTTTCATTTTAGACTGCAAAATACAACCGCAAATTCGTAATGCATTAGTCAATTTCATTTCCTTAACTACCTCAAACTTGTGCAGAAGATCGTTTGCTTTGATGTGGACATCAAATGCTAAATGCAAGTTATGTTCATGTTTCTTAACATATCAGAACTAAGAGAAGCGCATTTTATGGTGTCATCATGCCCTTGTGAATGCTTAAAGGACTGCGGCTGTTGAGTTTCCATACCTTTGCATTCTCTTCACAATGCTTTACGACAAAAGATATGTTTGTGTAACGGCCATGCAATAGCGTGTAAGCCCACAAGAGAAGCTTTCTCGGAATGCTAAGGTCAAGGATTTCAGCCCCATCCATGGTCGGCTTGAACTGTGTATCCTTTGCTAACCAAGACGGAACCAAATACAGGTTGACACCAGACGAGGGCATCACACAGGAGCTCTCGCGATAAAAATTGTAAGAAGATCGAAGCAGAGCGCTGGCAGCCTCCAAATTTTCATCTGAAGCTTTCTTAACTGTTAAATTCTTTATTTTAGACAAAATAGGATTCCGTTTTGCTTCAAGATTTTTAAAATGGGTTGGGTCCTCGAATGCTGAACTCCATAATTCGTCTGTTTGCAGATCAACACAAAGCAGCTGGCTGTTTTCCGACATCTCTGTTGGATTAAGGACCTGCATCTCACCGGTGATTTCAGACTGTGACGGAGTGATCTTTGCCAAGCTTAGTATAAGAGATCGACACCAAGCAATGGAAGCATGCCTACAAACTTTTGCACAGTTACTGTTTGATAATTTTGGATTCTTAAACCTCTTTCGTATCTTCTCATTTATGGCTTCAAGTGTCTCCAGCTTGCCATTTTTCTCCAATGTTATTATGTGTTCATGAAGATATCTGTAGAAGTACGAGGAGTGCATTAGACTCCGGAAGGAGAACTATCTTGTTCAAGATTAATAAACAAAGATGGATCAGGACTCTCGAGTTAAACACTGGAATTTAATAAGAAGTTGAGAAATAAAGTAAACATAAATTTTTCTGTGCAATTTAAATTACCCATATAAACTGCTTTCTGATGTTTCTGCGACCTTAATCTCAGACAAACCACATATTTCTGGCCATAAGTTCCCCTGCTCCATGAACAAAACAAACACTTTCTCCAATATATGCTCAGAATTACTTGTAGCACCAGAGCCAACAGTCTCAGCTTGTCGCATGGATGAAACCAAGGCCTTAACGTACCTCCCAAGTGCTACTGGAACAAGATCTTCAATGCATAGTGAAAACTGGATTTTCTAATCAAGTTAGATCCCACTTAAATTGGTAGCGAAAAATAAAATCAGAAATAGAATAAGATGAGCTAGACAAGACATGCTATTTTGACAGTAACAATGACGCGTAATTGAACTGCTATTATAGAGGCATACATGACGAGTGAATTAAGAAAAATGCACTGAAACATAAAATATTTTGTTCCACAAGTCATAGAACTCATCAAGAAATTACATCAGCTATGGCAGTCAAAAGTAATGGCACTAGAGGTTAAAATATTACCCTCTTATCAGCTCGCAGAGATATATAAGCACGGTCGAGAGTACAGATGTCTCCAGTCTTCTCCAACAGTTCCAAATAGAACAACAGATATTTCCGGATGCAAGTAATAAACTTTCGAGAACTTTCAGGTAAGTTAACTTCAAGGGACTTTTTACTCCCAGAGAAACCAGGAGTTTTCCGCCTGATACACAGAGAAGATATATCCAATTAGTTTCATATGGAATTATAATTTTAAGCTAATTAACAACATGGACAGCAAACAAACTGAAAATATTGAAAGGGGGCGTTTGGGTAGTATGTCAACGTGGAAAAATCTTTGTTTGAAATTTTTTTTGGTGTGTGTGTTTAAACATATGAAATTAGTTTAAAGGAATTTGCATTCCGTTTCTTTTTCAGAAGAAAAAACCGGTGAAAGAAATTTTTTGTATATTCCTTGTGGTGTCAAAATTCCTTAGATTCAGAAATATATAATATAAAAACATAATTGTTGCATAAAATTATAGTTGCACCTTCCTTTTTTGACCATGCTATCAATCTCCCACATATTTATTGTAAATGATGAGCGAGATGATTTGAAGCAAAAGGAGAGTTCTTCCTTTGCCCTCTCCAGCGCACCACTTTCCCCACTTCTATACAGACCTTGAGCAAGCATATATCTGGCTTTATGAAAATGTTTAAGCTCCCCTTCAACACAAGTTTCAAGGGCAGAAAGACAGTCACTGTAAAGCATGTTCCACACCTCTAATTTGAGTGAATCTTCATGCTTCTGCTCCCCAGTGTTTGCTTGTGTGCTTCTATCCTCCGGTGAGTTTGAGTTTTCAGAATCCATGCTACCTAAGATTGTCATGATAGCATCCTTTCTCGATTGATTAAAGGCATATGATGAAAGAACCTGGAATGGTAAAAAATTAATTGCAAAACAGGCAGCTGTCAAGCAAGCATCCATCTTATGGACTTCAATAGATTTTTCCGGCCAGTTTGACTTCATTATTAAGACAAATATAATACCTATTAAGGAATATATTATTTGGATTGAAAAAAATAAAGATTCAATGAAAAAAGAGGGGGGCTGGTGATTTGGAGAAGCAAGACCAAAGAAGAAAAAACCTTTAAAGTGTCTATACTTTGTTTTCCACTTGTACAAAGCATCTTCAAACGTGAAGCATGCATCCTGTAGACTGGATCTACAGCTGTTGGATTTAGAGCAATAGCTTTATCATAATATGACAATGATGTCTCATAAGAGAATCCTAGCTTTTCACAGAGCTTCCCAATATAGTAAGCATGGGACCAATCTTGCCTGATACAGAAGACAGCACAGACAAATTACCGTTTTAATTTGACACATCAGGTGGTTGGTTTGAGTAGGTAACTGGAAAAATGAAACTATGCAGAAAAGAGGACATACTTGTGAGCGAAAGCTTTTTTAAAATGTCTCATCGAGTTCTCACAAAACATCATCCATGCTGCATCCTTCAAGGGTACAACAGTTCGCTGATCATAAAATGGCACCACATTTTGAAGGCTATCATAGTACACCAATGCCAATAGCTCGTGTATCTCAGACTGGGCCACAAAAAGAGAAAACAAATCAGTACATTCTCAGTAACATCCCAAAGACATTCTAATTTCGAACTCAAGCAGAAAAGACTGGATTTTTTTTTTTTTTTTTGCCTTAATGGCATGTATTATAGCATGTAAAATATTTTTATTCAGGATCCACTGCAAGATGGCCCCTACTGTATAATTTCGGAAACAAAACAATTCCAGCCATTTTATTTGATCTGATGCTCTGCTTGAAAAAAGATTAGTTAAAATGTCAAAGGATCTATATGCCCAGCATGACCAAGAAAGAAAGAAGGAAAGACCCTACTCCCCACCAATACAATAACATATAGGAAAGAAAGGGGTCTAACCTGCTGAACTGATGTCTTTGCCAAAGCCAAACTCATTAATAGACACCGTCTACTCCTCCGTCGACTTGTCTCAACTCTCTGAGGTAAAGTAGCACTCTTCCTCCATCCTGCCACATTGATGTGCTTACTGCCATCATTTAGCAACAAGTCTACTTCCTGTAAAAAAGGATCATTAGAAAATGAAACTTTTCCACACCAGAATTGTGCTCTGTTTTGGTTTCTACAGCATTAACAAATCAGAATGATAAACAACAAACATTACCTCATCATAGATATTTCCGAGTCTTTGCCAACTTTCGAAACGTAGAGGATTGTAGAGTAAATCATATTTGAAGAGTTTTGCGTTATGCTGTACAAATTCTTCCCCTTCCTTGGTAAGCACAAAGCCAGGCCACTTATCAGTAGCACTCATTTCCTCAGATAGGGCAAGGAAATAATACAAGTTGCAATAGACATCCAGATACGGTTCAGAGCTGCAATCATACATGTAGAAAGCTCACTTCTTCAAATTAGAAAACTTATGAATTTAACCATCAAATGATAACAATTACATTTTAAAATTAAAATACAAATTAGAACTTATATTTATGTATACCTCCCAACGGATGATGGCTTCTGTTGTTTAAGGCTTCTCGCATCAGGGAGTATAATCTTTGTTATGGTTTCAAGAAACCCATCAGATCCAGCCTCCTCTGACAGCTTATCTTCACACAAATGAGGATCATCTAAGAACTTATCTATTGCATTTCCAGCCAAAACATCGTCTGGTGGTTGTGGAAAATGTTTGCGTATGGCTCTGAGTACTCTTCGAACTTTAACTAATCCTGTCCTCTGTAACATACATGTATAAGCTTAGAAAAACAAATGTTGGGAAACTAAATAGTTGACGTTTTTTCATTAGAACCCTTGTAATAAATTGTTATAATGCACATATGCACACACATGGAAAAAAAAAGGGGGGG